CATACACAATAGGGCAACTGTAGACTACAACATTTAATTACACATCTCAAAATAACTGGAGAAGAGCTTAAAGGTTCCCAACACAAAGGAATGATAATATTTGAGGTGATGGAAATGCTAATTATCCTGATTTGTTCATTACAAATTATATACATGTATCAAATGATAACACTATACCACATAAATAAGTACATACACGTATGTCTATTTGTACACATATACACAAACGCACACTTATATTGAAATTCAGGTAAATGTATTTTTAGTACTGTGACTAGGTACCAAATACTGCATGGGTCATACTGATACTCCCTAACTTATTAAGTTATTTATTTTTGTCTGAAATTAAATTTTACTCAGCATCCTTCATCTGGCACCTCCGAAGTCATTGTCCCAAAAGCTGTCAGTAAGTTTGTTGTGAGCTTGACATGGAGGGCCCTACCATTTTTACAGACTTTGCCTTACATCACTGAATAGTCAAATTGTAAATAGCTTGATACTCAGAGCCTTGCCACACACACTATTGTGTGTTATTACATCCATGATTTCTATCAAAAGAATGAATAGTTTCTTTGCATGGCATTTTGATTTCCTTTGTATGCATTTGGTTACTAAGGATAGATGAGCAGAGCCTTATCTGTGGATTGGCTCATGGGATTTCCTTTACTTGTGGTGGTTTATTATTGCTAAATAGTGGTTGGAGGGCATTTGAAAAGAGAGTATAAAATACACTTTTGGTGTTTTGGGGTGAATGTAGGGATGACAATGTGCAACTTCTTAAAGTCTATAAGACTCTAGATGCAGACTTTTCCATTTTCATAGGAGTTAATAACTAGACTAGTACTCACCATTTACTTTTGCTGCTCAGGCCAGGATGCCTGGGCACTGATGCACTGGAAAGGTAGCATGGCTTAGAGAAGGACACCATGCTGTCTCCATGCAAACAAAGTTGTTTACTTAGTATGTTCCCTATTAAAGTATCAGATGACTGAAATATTACTTTGATTGAAGAATTTTTCTTCCAAATTTGAAATACTCAATTTGTTAATAGCTTTTGTTTAAGAAGATGAAAGAGTGTATTTGCCCATGACTAGAAACAATTGAAATATGGCCTATTTCATCTCTTACACTCTTTCTCCTCTCCTCCTTATGCCAAAGTTAGTAATTATGAAATTGCATGGCCAGGACACTTGAGCAGAATTGTAGATATTTATCCCATAGGAGTAAACATGGGATTTACTTTAGAAAAAGCTAAAGTTCTTTTAGAAAAAGCTGAATTCTCATGGCAGAAAGATTGACCAAAAACACAGTCAGGAAACATTTTTGTGGCCTTGATATCATGATCTTGTCAGTAAAGCCATGGTCTCTGATTAAATCCAGGTTTAGCTGTTTCCTGTTAGCGTGCTAACCCACAGGGCAGGCTCAGCCCTCTGTCTCATTTTCTAAGTCTGAGTTATTAAACACTTGTCTGCCAAGGCTTCCACCCCTTTTCTTTTAAACTTTAATTCAAAGATATTAAGATAATACAAACCAAAACAGGTTTGTCTCTTAAAGGATAATAGACTATTGAATCTTCTGCTTTAGAAGCACAACTTTAACATGCTAGCTTCTTCAGTCTAGCCATATGGCATGAGTGTGTGTGTGTGTGTGTGTGTGTGTCTGTGTGTGTGTGGTGTGTTTTGCTTCCGTACTCCATTTCAAAATAATTCTAGTAGTAAGCAGAAAATTTTTTTTGTTTTATAAAACAGTACTGTGTTTGAATGTTGGTAAAATAGAACTCCCCTTAAAAAAACTTGGTCTCCCCCTGCAATAGCAAGTAGACATTAGAATATTCAGCAAATGTATAGAAAATTTCATGAAGCAAATATTCTGACATCATAACATGCTTTGTTAGCATTTGTGAGAACATTTTTAAGCAACAGAGCAAGTCTATTCTTCATTTTATGTTATTGTCATTGATGCTCCTTCTTTGCATTGAGAATAAATTTTTAAGTCTAAATATTGAAAGTATTTTGTTAGCCATTCTGTTAGGTCAAACATGGTTCTTCCTAATGCACAGATATAAACACTAAGGAACAAAAATTGTTGGAGACTAAGAGAATCATGGATGCATCTTGAGTTTTTGTTTTTGTTTTTTTTTTTTAAGAATAAAGGGAGGACTGAAGGAAGAGATGGGTAATGAGAAACATAATTCCATTCCCAAAGGAGAACCTTGGCTTCCCGCCAAATCTGCTTTCTGGCAGGAAAAGGGACCTACTTCTTCAGGTCCTTTGACAAACATTTTTCTCTGTGTTTGAATTTTGGCCACATCAATACTCAATGAAAAATTAGTTCTTTTAAGAAGTCATTACTTTCAATAAGAAAGATTTAGCTCTCAAGTGGAGTTTGTACTTTAAAGTAAAACAAGAATCAGGATAAGGGCAGAGGGGGAAAGAAAAAGAATCACCAAACTTAAAATTGTTGGGCAAGGGAACCCTGGCATTATCACAAGGTAAGGAAGCTTGATGTAGAATTAGAACTTGAATATTCCTAATCAGCAAGAAGCCATTCCTTTTGTTGTTGATAATACTGGGCATTGAAATATATATATTTTAACTGTTACTGTTTAATAGTATGTAGGCAGATAATTATTTTTGAACTGGCCCTTTGAAGTGCAAAGTGAAAAACACAACCATCCCTGTATTTTAGTACTGGATTAAGAAGAGATCAAAGCAATAGGGGTGTTTGAATATGAAATTTAACATATTTTCATGTCTTGAGTTTTTTAAATAAAAAGTGTTAAATATAATTAGATCTTGAATACATTATAGTAACTAACTTACTAAGTCAAAATTTTCTAAAATATCTTCATCCCGTAGCTCTGCAAGCTACTCTTGAGATTAAGGGGAACCCACTTGGAACATGCTTCTCTTAAGAGTCGGGTAACACACGTTAGCATATTAGACTAAGAAGTTCTGTAGTCATTGAAGTTGTAGTCTCCAAACTTGACCACAGGACCTTCTTTTTTTGGAACTGGTGTTTTACAGCATACGATTAAAGCAATACCGCAGCAAGTCATTAAAAATATAATTAGAGTTTGAAAGCATGCATCTTTTTCACTTATTGTTTCTGCTTTAAGTTAATTGGAGCTTTTTGGGGAACAGACGGGTACTACTAGGCTTCTTTTCAAACTGGTACAGTTTGATAAAGAACAGTTATCAGGCCTTCATCTGAGTCAACAGTCCTAAGCAGCCTAAAGAAATATTTGGTATTTTTCCTGTACCAGATTCCTCTCCTTTGAAAACTTTAAAAAATTAAATAAAGAAATAAAGACATCCACTATTAGTTCCTGCTGTCAGTTAGATATGATAACAGTAAGCTCTTCTAACCCCCTTCAAAAACTGGTGGCCATCAATTGGATCTTTTTTTTGGGGGGGGGGGTAGTAGGGTTTGAATTCATTGTTTTGTGCTTGCTAGGCAGGTTCCACACTGCTTGAGCCCTGCCTCCAACTCTTTTTTTTTTTTTTTTTTTCTGGTTATTTTGGAGATAGGGTCTTGCTTCTTGCCTGGGCTGGTCTGGACCTTGATCCTCCAATTTTATGCTTCTCACTGTAGCTGGGATGACAGGTACATGTCACCACATCCAGCTATTGTTTGAGATGGGATTTTGCACAATTTTTTTAGAGCTGGCCTGGAACCATGATTCTCCTGATCTCAGCCTCCCAAGTAGCAAGGATTACAGACACGAGCCACTGGGGCCCAGTACCACTTGGATCTTTCTAGACGCAGTCCCTTGGTTAATTTCCTTCTAGTAATTTAATTCGAACAGGATCAGGAGAAGACAAAGCAAACATAGCTTAGTAAGCACAATTTTCATCATGAGAAGTTTATTTTTTTCTTTTTGCCCTTCTTTAATTTTTATATATCTGACTGTTTCTACTTAGAGAAGTCGGATACAAAGCAATTTGACTTATGACTCAGATAAACTGGTGGTTTTTTGCATCACTTAAAGTAATTATTTGCTTTAGAAAAAGACTTATTACAAAGCTCCTTTTGGCAGGACATTTTCCTTCATGCCTATGAAGGACAAGTTAAACTTTGAAAATTACATCTCTATATGATTTGTTAAGTACAGATTTATTGTAGAATGCAAACAAAGCACGCCCATGTATTTCTTCAATTTAATTCTCTTCCCTTATACTTACTTTTTAAGCTTCCACATTTCATCACCAGTTTTTATGAATTATGGTTTATGCTAACCACTATACAGTTACATCTAGCAATATTATTTATAGTTTTATTCTCCTATGACAGCTATTTCTCATGAGTAAATATTTTTTTCTATACATTGCAAGTTTCCTGAAGGCAGGGCTCATGTGCCTACCTTTCCATCATTCCTCCGAGGTGGACTTGGTGCTGATTGAAACAGACATTTCTCAGTCAACTCTGTTGATTGCTGACAATGCTGAATCGGAATGTATGTAAGTCTTTCTTGCACTGATGTCAGATCATGATTAGATCTCCCGAGATTTTCATGGAGAACATACTCCTACCATGCCTGATTTTTTGAGCTTATGAACAGTGTATCAACTGACTCACACAAATCCTAGAAACTTTTAACAATCATCTCCTGAAAACGATGAGGACTTCACTCTTGTGGCACACCACTGGAGGAACTGTTTTTAAGAATGAGTTTGAAAATTTACCTTGGAACACTATAAAGGGAATGATTGATAACATTTGCTAAACTCAGTCCTGGAATCAGAGAAATCATCATTCATAAACTATGCCAGCATCTTAGTTCTTGATAGGGGAGTAAGTAGAAGCAAGTGTTACTAGTATGAATGAAGTCATACCTATAGTTCTAGAAAAGGGGAATACACACATCCTTCACCATCACCATCACCTGCACTCATAGGAGATAGCATTGCCTTACATGATTTGTAGGGAAATTAAATAAAAGCATGGAGTAATGACCGACTAGGGCTTCAATGATTTCAGTGTTTTAATTTGTCGTACAGGTTGAAGGGGACCAGCTGCCTCCAGGACACACAGTCAGTCAGTATGAGACCTGTAAGATCAGGACCATAAAAGCTGGCACCTTGGAGAAGCTTGTGGAGAACTTGCTGACAGCTTTTGGGGACAATGACTTCACCTATATCAGCATTTTCTTGTCAACATACAGAGGCTTTGCGTCCACTAAAGAAGTGCTGGAACTGCTGCTGGACAGGTAAGGATCTAAGGGGCCAAGAGCCCATGGGAATGTAAGGCTGCACGCAGTGAGGAGGCACGCGGCTCTGAGTCACCAGCTGAGAGGGAGGTGTGAGGAAAGAGCACTCCAACGACCTTTGCAACAGTTGGCATGAAGATTGTTCAGGAGCCACTCATATGGTCTGCTTCTGAGGAAGAAAAAACTCATTTAAAAAAATCCGTAAAAGCCAGGTGTGGTGGTGCACACCTATGATCCCAGCACTCAGGAGGCTGAGGAGGAGGATCAAGAGTTTGAGTAGAAAACGAGATCTGTCTCAAAAACAACCAACCAGATCAACAATAAAAAGAACCATATAAAACAAACAAGTAAAAGTCCATAAAAGAGTTAAAAGTAGATACCATAAATCTAGATTCAGCTGTTTATAGGTATTAGTTCCTACTTCCCACCCTAAATTTCTAATTTCACAGAAATTAGCTTTTATAATTTCTCTATAATTCCAACAAATAGTTAACGAGCAGGGAATCTTATTGCTGCGAAGACTGAATGTGCTGATAGGTATGAGTGTAGAGTTCTGGCGGCGTAAACCACAGGAAGCAGCTAGTGAATGGGGCCTATGCTGCTGACAATAATAGCTACTACTAAGCACTATGTTGCAGTTGACGTGTGCATAAGCACACAGATACCACCCTTGATTCACTTTGTTATGGCACATTGTAACTCACACGTGGATGATCTTTAGATTTTTCTTCCTTTTGTTTTATTTGTAGTTAAACTTGGTCATTTTTTGGTTAAATACCATTAAATTGACACTGGGAGAAAAAAAACCTGTCAGCCAAACAATTGTTTAGAATCATGAAAATTGGTATATTCTGAGGTTTCCTGCATAAGGAAGGAAATGGGATAGATTGTTTTTGTTGGTCTTGTTGAATATTGGTTTCTGTTAACTAGATATTTTATTTTCAAAGTAATCTGTACTCATGTTGAAAATGTTAACAACTTTAATACTATAGAAGGGTGTGAAAAGAAAGATTAGTTTTCTCATTTTGCTACCTTTTCCCAAGTAATACTGACTAGGTTTTTAATATATGTACTAATAAAAAGAAGAAAAAAAAACAGCTATAGTCTAACTAGGCAGAGACTGCATGTTAATGGTTTTAAAACAAAAGTAGTCCATATACATGTTGAAAAGCACACATGATTCAGAAAATTGTAAAAAATGTTTAAAAAGTAAAATTTTCCTTTTCCTCATGTTCCCTAGTAATCACTGTACCCCATTCCTTTTTTATTGTTATCTAATTTTTCTGGGCATATAAAAGCGTGTATATGTAAATACACATGCATTCTTGTATGTCTATTGGTTATCATATATTTTATATAAATATAAATATAAGTATATATTAAAAAATTATAAAAATATAAATAAAATTTATGTTTATTTATATAAATATTTATTTATAAAAATATATGCTGTCAATAGACTCACTGTATACAATCTCTCCTACAATTTTCATTTTTTATATATCTGTGTATCTTGGAGTTTGTTTTTGACTCAGTGAGTTAATACATGTATAAGGCTTAGAATAGTTGCTAGCATATTAAGAGCTTAAGAATGTAAGTTATTTCAAAGTAAGCACTTAGGTGAACCTACCCTCATCTTTTTAATGTCTTTGTAGTATTTACTGAATGGATTATTTTGCATGGATAGACATTTACACTCTTTCCAGTTTAAAATTTTTTTTTAATTTATAAACAGTGCTTCAAGGAACATTTTGACTATTTTCTGAGTACTTTTTGAGAAGTCCACAGGATAGTCTTATAGAAGAGTGACTGATGGGAAAAATCTATCAGCAGCTAGGGATTTGGGAAGATATCAGATTGCCCTTCCAATCTCACCCACACCTCTCCAACTGCAGACGTTACATCTTTGCCATGATCTGACATTGAAAACTGGATTATGCTTCTTACATTTATTTTATGAGTAGAAGTTAGCATCTTTTAAAATGCTTATTGACATTTGTGTTTCCTTTCTGTGAGTTGTCTTTCATATTCTTTCCCTATTTTTCTTTTCTTTTCTTTTTTTTTGTGGGGGGGCTGGGGTTTGAACTTAGGGCTTTGCACTGCAAAGCAAAAGCAGGCTCTCTACCACTTGAAATCATGTCTTTTTTTTATTATTGTTTATTATTCATATGTGCATACAAGGCTTGAGTCATTTCTCCCCCCTGCCCCCTTACCACACTCCAACCCCCTCCTCTCCCCCAACCCCCTCAATACTCCAGCATAAACTATTTTGCCCTTATCTCTAATTTTGTTGAAGAGAGAGTATAGGCAATAATAGGAAGGAACAAGTGTTCCTGGTTGAGATAAGGATAGCTATACAGGGCATTGACTCACATTAATTTCCTGTGCATGTGTGTTGCCTTCTAGGTTAATTCTTTTTTGATCTAACCTTTTCTCTAGTTCCTGGTCCCCTTTTCCTATTGGCCTCAGTTGCTTTTAAGGTATCTGCTTTTAGTTTCTTCTGCGTTAAGGGCAACAAATGCTAGCTAGTTTTTTAGGTGTCTTACCTATCCTCATCCCTCCCTTGTGTGCTCTTCGCTTTTTATCATGTGCTCAAAGTCCAATCCCTTGTTGTGTTTGCCCTTGATCTAATGTCTGCATATGAGGGAGAACATATGATTTTTGGTCTTTTGGGCCAGGCTAACCTCACTCAGAATGATGTTCTCCAATTCATCCATTTACCAGCGAATGATAACATTTCGTTCTTCTTCATGGCTGCATAAAATTCCATTGTGTCTAGATACCACATTTTCTTAATCCATTGAACCATGTCTTCAAGTCCATTTTGCTCTGATTATTTTTGGAGACGGGTCTCAATTTGCCCAAACTGATCTTGAATCAGAATCTGCCCCATCTCAGCCTCCTAAATAGCTAGGATTACAGGCGTGAGCCACTGGTACTTGGCATCTTTGCCTGTTTTACTTTTGGACTATTTTCATGTAATTATTGATCATCCTATTATAATTTGTATATATTAAGAAAATTAATTTTTTTGCTTATCATCATATTGAAATATTTTCCCTAATTTGTTTCTTTGTTTTAAAATGTCTATTAACATCTTTATCATGAAGACATTAAACTTTTAAAATGTAATTTTATCTATCAGTCTTATGAAAGTTTCTATCCCAGTGTAAGTAAGCTTACTGACAACAGTGGGTTTTTCTTCAGAGTAGTTGTTAGTCAACTTTCCATCACTGTAACGAATGCCTGAGATGATAAACTTACAAAGAGAAAAGGTTTGTGATAGCTCAGAGTTTTGGAGATTCCAGTCCATAATCAGTTGGCTCTATCACAAGCCAGCGCATCATGGTGGGAACACACAGTAAAGCTGCTCCTTCTTGGCCAGAGTGTAAAGAGAGGAAGAGGAGGGGCTTGGGTCCCACTATCCTCTTCATGAGCATGCCTCAAAGTGACCTCCCACTAGGCCCTATTGCTTTTATTTATGTTTTGGTGGCACTGGAATTTGAACTCAGGGCCTCATACTTGCTAGGCTGGTGCTCTTACTGCTTGAGCCACTCTGCCTAGGCCTTATCTCTTAAAGGCTCTACCACCTCCCAGTAGCACCACTCTGGGATCAAACCTTTCACACATAGGCCTTTGGGGGGACATTCAAGATCCAAACTATAGCATTAGACCTTTGTAGATACATATGTAGTAAAATTATTTGGATCAGTTTTTATTCATATATTCATATTCAGACTTAACTCACAAAATGTCTATTCTTTAATCATATACATTGATCTGGTTATGATACCCTGGCTGCAACACAGGCAGTTGTATATTGTTTTGTATAGTAGTACTTGACAAGAGATTAAGCCTGGAATATAAATGTGTGGGATTGGTGAGTCCTTTTTATCATAGTTTGTTTAGTTGTATAATAGTTCATACATTTAGGTAGATATTGAAGAAATATGTGATCTTTCTCTTTTTGTTATTTCATAATTATAAAAACATGCAGTATGCTAACTGTTGGCAGGCAATAACTGAGGAAATAGTTCAAAACACAGAAAACTTCTACAGGTTTGCTTTGACATTGGTAATCTCTTCTATCCAGGGGATGACTCCGTTGATAACAGGCCACAGATGTCCACAGTGGGCAAAGGAGTACATGTGAATCCCTGCTGTTCATCCTAAACAGTGGACACACACAGGAACCAAAGTGTTTAGTCTATGAATTGTGTTCTTCTAGCTTTTATTTGATCTTTTAAAAAAATATTTTCTTTTTTCTCTTATGGGTAGATATTTTTGGATTTTTAAAACACTAACTGGATAATAATTACCAAATAACAGAATTAACATTAATTCAAATTGCATTTAATTCAAGCTATCATTTCATATATAACTAAATGAAGAGTTAAGATTTGTTTTGAACTATCTGAGGGGGCCAAATTAAATGGCTCTGCATTTAATCTCATAGTTGAATCCTTTGCTTGCTTATGAAATGAGTGGAAACATGTAATGAACGCCTACAAAATACTCAGTACTTGCAAGTCAATATTCAGATGAACTCAGAAATGTAAGATTTAGTTTTGCCCTGAGTGGATTTCCTTTGAAGTCACTGATAACCTCCAGGACCTCTCTGGTAATATTACACTCTATATTATTTTATACTTTATTTTTTGTATTATTTTTGTTTGAGAGGATCCCTGAGATTACATATGCTAGTCCCATAAAACTGGGATCCACCTTTCAGTACTTAATATTTTATTGCAAAAATAAGGCTGGCACTCACAGAAACAAGTAGATAACCACTAATGATGTGGTAAAAGGAGGCTCTAACATGTTCTACAGATGAAGCAAGGTACAGAAGTTCAGAGAAATAAATCCTATTTATTTTGCTTCCTCTGCAGAAATTTAGATTTGCCCATGCATATAACCATCCTGGATATGAATATTTTTTCCTCACTTCATTTCTTACTCCTACTTACATCTTGTGGCCAGGTTTCAGTCTTGATTAAATT